GGAACACTTTCTAGCTGGATGGTTCCCTCTTGGTGCTGAGTGATGCTGGCATGATGCGGGCTAAATGAAGCTGTCTTCCTTCTTTTCTTGTATGGTTGTTCTTGGCTTTTTGTTTTATTGTGTTGCTGTAGTTTTTTACATGGATCTCAGAGTTGTACTAGAGCTGTTTCTATTTCATGGATAGCTGTTTAATTGTTGATCTTTCTGTGGGGACAGAGTCCGTGGTCTCCTAGGTCACTGTTTTGGTGACACTGACAGATAATTTATTCAATTCCTTTGTATTTGATGGGACTAATATTCCTTGTACTTTCCTACTGGCTTTTCTGATCTTGAGCCCAGGGAGAGGTAATACTGATGGGTGGTTTCTTTCTAGCTCCACTCTCACTTAATTTACAGTTTTACTTAATTAATTTACTTAATTCCATACAAGAATTCTGAACTAGGCAGAGGTCTTAGTTTCAACTCCTTGCTTAGTGCTTGCCTGAGGCCTTGTTTTATCCCCTTTATGTGCATTTGAGTGCAATTTGTTAGCCTCGATTGACTCTCCCACTCAGATGAGATGACTCAGCTCAGGATCGTTAACTCAGGTTGCATTTTCACCTCTTGTCCCGTGTTCATGTTTTCTGAATCTGTGAAGATCCAATAGCAAGCTAAGAGCATTTCTCAAGAACAGAATGGTTACTTGCGAAAGGGCATGGCTTGCTTTGAAAAACTGTAAAGGCCCCCTTTGGATTGCGCTACGAGTCTTTGCCTTTGACTCCAAGCAGCGTAGATGTGCCAAGGCTCCACAGGTTGATTCAGGCTACTTGCAGACTCTACTGTGTAGCCTGGATCATTTGGACAGCCCTTTCTTTACGTCACCAAGTCCTGTAATGTTTTCAGTTTTTTAGTAACTAATGTGCTTGAACACCCAAATGTGAAATATGTTGCCTTTAAAACCCAAAGAGACATATGACAACTTGTTATTTTGGAGGGAATATTGATATATTTTTTATTATTTTATAAAATAAACATGCCTCTAAAGGTGTGAACAAACACTCCACTCAATGTATCCTGCAAGTATCACTTTTATGAACCTAACATAACACTGCGCTAAGTATAGTACAGAGGAGCCTATCCATCAACACCCAGAAATAACTCCCTTTTCATGGTATCTTGAAAGGATGCATCACTTTAATAAACATCTTTAGAGTCCTGATCGGGCAAAACTTAGCTAAGTGCTTTAAGGCTATTTTGTAAAGGCGTTGCACAAGTACTGTCACTCTTCTTCTGGAGGGGATATGTAAATGCCCTAGCTGTCCGTCAGAATCACCTGGAGGGATTGTTTAAGCACAGATTTCTGAGCTCCACCCCCATAATTTCTGATTCAGTTGGTCTATGGTGGGGCCCAAGAATTTGTATTTCTAACAATTTCCCAGATGATGCTGCTAGTTTGGGGACCACTTAAAGAACCAGCACCTTGCCAAAACCGGTTTGGCTCAGTGGTAGAGTGTCGGTTTGCAGACTGAAAGGTCCTAGGTTTGATTCCGGTCAGGGCCATGTACGTTGGTTGCGGGCACATCCCCGGAGGGGGGTGTGCAAGAGGCAGTCGGTTGATGTTTCTCTCTCATCAACGTTTCTAACTCTCTATCTCTCTCCGTTCCTCTCTGTAAAAAAATCAATAAAATATATATAAGGAAAAAAAAAAAAAAGAACCAGCACCTTGACCACTCTTAGTAAGGCATCTCAGGCACCAGATTGTCCTGCTCTCCTCATAGTGTCTGTGTGATATCATCTATGGAATGAACCAGCATGATATCCTGAGAAACGGTGAGATGTTTAAGTTTGCTGACGCATAAATGGTAGAGTTATGTAAGTCTGAAGCAAAATGGTAAAGGTTTTTTTTATTTTCTTTTTTTTTTCTCTCCTATTTTTTTCTGATAGGAGAAAAAGCAAATCAATTCTGATTTTCCTTGATTATTTATTAAATGGAAGAAAAGTTATCCACCATGTTAATACCATATACCAAAGACCAAGGATTACTTTGATTTGCTCTAGATCTCACATTTGGAATATCAGCTAAAACTTGTGTCACCACCTGACTAAATTAATGATAATTTCCTGCCATTCTTTATGACCCATCTACATTGGCAAGATGGGTAAGTTAAATCAAGAATATAATAGGAATGGGTTAGAGGATGGGTGAAAAAGGTGAAAGGATGTTGAGCCTCTTTTCATGTGTCTGTTGACCATCTGTACTCCTTGGGGTCATGTCCTCTGCCCATTTTAAAATCAGATTGTTGTTATTGTTTTTTTTAAATTTTTGAATAAATCTTTATTGTTCAGATTATTACAGCTGTTCCTCTTTTTCCCCTCATAGCTCCTTCCACCCGGTTCCCACCCCACCCCATGCCCTTAACCCCAACCCCCAATGTCCTCATCTATAGGTATAAGATTTTTGTTCAATCTCTTTCCGAACCCTCCACACCCTCTCCCCACCCCCCCAGAATTGTCAGTCTACTCCCTTTCTATGCCCCTGATTCTATTATATTCAACACTTCATTCTGTTCATCAGATTTTTTTATTCACTTGATTTTTAGATTTGCTTGGGATAGATATGTATTTGTTGTCACTTTTTTATTCATAATTTTTATCTTTACCTTTTTGTTCCTCTTCTTAGAGAATATTCTTCAGCATTTCATGTAATCCTGGTTTGATGGTGATGAACTCCGTTAGCTTTTTCTTGACTGTGAAGCTCTTTAGCTGGCTTTCAATTCTGAATGATAACTTTGCTGTGAGAAGATGGCAATCTATGATCTAGGAAGTGGAGAAGAGTCCTAACAGATACTGCATCTTTTTTTTTTTTTTTTAAATTGATTTTGTACAGAGAGGAAGGGAGGAGATAGAGAGCTAGAAACATCGATGAGAGAGAGTCATCAATCAGCTGCCTCTTGCACACCCCCCACTGGGGATGTGCCCACAACCAAGGTACATGCCCTTGACCGGAATCGAACCCGGGACATTTCAGTCCCCAAGCCAACGCTCTATCCATTGAGCCAAACCGGTCTCGGCAGATACTGCATCTTTTGGCACTTTGATCTTGGACTTCCCAATCAATAGAAATACATAAAATAAATGTAGGTTGTTTAAGCCAGCCTGTCGTGGCAACCCAAATGACAAAGACAAAGGGATTGGGGTAAATTGTATTATTTTTCTCAAGTGTTTCTTCTTTCTTTTTAAATATATTTTATTGATTTTTTTTATAGAGAGGAAGGGTTAAGGGATAGAGAGTTAGAAACATTGATGAGAGAGAAACAGCGATCTACTGCCTCCTACACAACCCCCACTGGGGATGTGCCTGCAACTAACTAAGGTACATGCCCTTGACCGGAATCAAACCTGAGACTCTTCAGTCTGCAGGCCGATGCTCTATCTACTGAGCCAAACCAGTCAGGGCTCAGTGTTTATTTATATCTGTGAGAAATTTTGCAGCCCTTGACATTATTCAGGGAGAGAAGGGCTTCTTAGGGAGGAAGTGGCAATAAGAATAGAAGATTGGTTATATCTAGAGGATTAATCAAATAAGGAAGAAATTCAAGATATTTCTTACTGTCACAGAAGGGAGTTGCGGAAAGGGAGAAAACTGGAATTAACTCTTTGGTATTGGATTAAAATTAGAGATATTAGTGTGAACTCATATATTCAATATATTTAGATATAGAAATAAATATACAGGTGTGTGTGTGTGTGTGTGTGTGTGTGTGTGTGTGTGTGTAGGGGAGGGATGAGCTCAGTGTGAGGGATTTGAAGGAGGATTATTTGGGGGAAGCTGAATTAGGTGTGAGCGGGGAGCTGGCTTATGGAAAGATTTCACACAGAAGATTTAATATCTAGAGAGCTTTTCTCTTAGCCTTTGGAAAAAAACGTATTTAGCACCAAGTTTACCTTCTAAATTGTGATTTCATTAAATTATCCTGTTAAAAAATAGTTGTGTAGCCGAAACTAGTTTGGCTCAGTGGATAGAGCTTCGGTCTGTGGACGGAAAGGTCCCAGGTTCGATTCTGGTCAAGGGCATGTACGCTGAATGCGGGCACATCCCCAGTAGGGGGTGTGCAAGAGGCAACTGGTCGATGTTTCTCTCTCATGGATGTTTCTAATTCCTCTCCCTTCCTCTCTGTAAAAAAGCAATAAAATATATTTAAAAAAAATAGTTGTATATACCTGTATAGTTTTTTGCTGTGCTGTTGTGGGTATTAAAGTGATAGCAAAGGATGGATTAGAGAAGGGTGGTCTACTCCTTTAACACCTAAAAGGGAGAGCTGCTTTCAGAAGTTGCTGGATGTGACCATGGCAAAATAAATGGAGATTCATGATGGAGTTAGTTAAGAACAGGGAAATGCGGATAGCACTGAGGAGAAGATTCAGAAGGCATACCATCTACAGTTTCACTTCCCTAATACATTAGAAGATGCTGACTGTTGAAGTGGGAAGTTGACTTAAACTTTTAATCAATGCTCCTCTTAGAAAGTAGTCCCCAAAAGTTGCCTAATAAGCCACAAAAGGCGAAGAAAAAAAAATGCAGCCTAAGTGAGTATAGGCAAACTCTATCAATAATATTTTTGCATGTAGATGCACACAAATACTTGAATTTTATTCTTGCTGGTGAGTTCAGATTTCATAGTTTTCAAGAAAGATTTCTCTAATTGTTTAGTTCCTCTTTTCTTGTCCTTCCTATTTCTTTCTTTTACTTTTTGAGATCCTACTTTTATTACTGTTGCTAGCGTATGTTTAAAGACTATAATTTCCACTGTGCTGGTCCTGGAGAATGAGCCTCTGTCTTGAGGTTTTAAGTTCTCATAAGATTCCTCTTAGGGAAATTTGCATATCTGTAGCCTCTATTCTCATCTAGTTGCATGATAGGAAGTATGACAAGTTACCATCATGTTTGATTTACATTTTAAGATGTTTTAAGGAAGAGATACCAAGGATTTTTTTGCAGAGAGCAGACGGTCTTTCTCAATATGACTTCAGAGATCACTTATGCTGAAGTGAAGTTCAAAAATGAATCTACATCCTTAGGCACCAAGTCAGAGCCTCCTGCAGGTAAGAAACATTTTCTGGCAGTCAGAATTAATGATGGGTGAAGAATAAAGAGAGAATACTATAAATAAAGTATAGGTAATAATAGATGCTGGTTTTCTGATTGACCAGTTTGGAAATATAGACTTCTCAGAGGATTATGTTGCCTGAAGATAAGTATTAAGGACTGCACATTTGTACTATACCAAAACTGAGATGTATAGAAGTCCACTATAATCCTGAGCTAAGAAGAGTGGTAATTATGGGAGAAAGTTGTCCTCTTGTAAGGCTCAGTAAGACTGCAGTCAGGAATGACAAAGCCCACTAAATTACCCCCAGCCCTGATAGAGTGATGAACTTTATCAGTCTTGACCAGTTAGAGGAGAGGAGTTGGGTGAAGAGTGCTTTAGGTGTATTAACAAAACTGTTACTACCAGACTAAAGTGGAAAGAAAGATCATTGCAGATAAAAGACTAGAAAATTGTATAAAGAAAATCCCTTATATCTCAAGGGAAATTGCTCTGTAATGAGAAAATCCATTGCATTCTGAATCTCCAAGATGGATTCAACCAAGTTTTGAAGTAGATAAAATGTAACTTGAGTAGCACCTATGATATCTCAGATATAGAGCAAAAGAGAAGAAAAACACATGGATAGTCTAAGAAGCTGTGAGAGGGCAGTTATGATTGCTTCTGTATTCTAAAACTCTTCTGTGGAGAGATGGAGAATACTCAGGAAACTGTTTTAACTCTTAAAATGTATGAAACTTCTTTATTATATGCTAAAATGTTCATTGTAGAAAAAAAAATTAGAGATACATAAAATTTTGTTCTTACCACCTAGTAATAACTATAATTTACATTTCTAGTGTATATCCTCCCAGATATATATCAATCAATATGGTTATAGATATATAAATGTATATATGTATTTTTTTTCCTAAAAATGAGACCACAATATACTTGGCAATATATAATTACTTGGGGAAAATAATTTTTAACCATGAAATAGTGACTAAAAAGGACTGATCTTATTTTATGAATGTGATAAGGGATGAGTATAAAGATGTATCTGGTATGGAATTATTTAAAGTAGTTAAAATTGGAGCAAAAATGAAAGACTCATAGATATAGAGAATAGACTGGCAGTTGTCAGAGGGGAGGGGGCTTAAAGGCCTGGGTGAAATAAATGATGAGATTAAGCAAAAACAAAACAAAACAAAACAAAACAAAACAAATAAACCCCATAGATATAAAAACAATATGGTGGGGTGGAGACAGGTAGAAGAGAGTAAAGAGGTGATAAATGGCCAAAACCGGTTTGGCTCAGTGGATAGAGCATTGGCCTGTGGACTGAAAGGTTCCAGGTTCGATTCTGGTCAAGGGCATGTACCTTGATTGCAGGCACATCCCCAGTGGGGAGTGTGCAGGAGGCAGCTGGTTGATGATTCTCTCTCATTGATATTTCTAACTCTCTACCTTTCTCTCCCTTCATTTCTGTAAAAAATCAATAAAATACATATTAAAAAAAAGAGGTGATAAATGGTGATGAAAAGAGACTAGAGGAGAGATCAACCAAAGGACTTATCTGCATGCATACAGGCCTAATTAGTGGACACAGACAACAGGAGGATGAGGGCATGAGTGGGTGGGATAGGAGGATAATAGGATAAGGACACAAAAGGACATATATGTAACAAATTTAATCAATCAATCAATCAATAAATAAATAAATAAAAGAAAAGAGACTAGACTTTGGGTGGTGAATACACAATATAATACAGAGATGATGTATTATAAAATTACTCTTTCTTTCTTTCTTCTTTCTTTCTTTCTTCTTTCTTTCTTTCTTTCTTTCTTTCTTTCTTTTCTTTCTTTCTTTCTTTCTTTCTTTCTTCCTTCCTTCCTTCCTTCCTTCCTTCCTTCCTTCCTTCCTTCCTTCCTTCCTTCCTTCCTTCCTTCCTTTCTTTCTTTCTTTCTTTCTTTCTTTCTTTCTTTCTTTCTTTCTTTCTTTCTTTCTTTCTTTCTTTCTGATATGGTATCACATAATTGTCCTCATCCCCCCATTCCCGTCCCAAACTCCTCCCTAGATATGCCCCACCCCCCTGTTGTCCATGGCTATTGGCTAGGCCCATATGCATGCACACAAGTCCTTTGGTTGATCTCTTCCCCTCACCCCCACCCTCCCCTCCTTTCCCTCTGAGGTTTGAGAGTCTGATCGCTGCTTCTCTTTCTCTGGGTCTGTTTTTGTTCATTATTTCCTCTAGATGTGTGAGATCATATGATCTAAGAAATACCCTTGTAAGAACCTATATGAGACAAGCCATTGCTGGGAGGCAAATGAGTCAGTCTGTATTGAGTTCCTTTCTGGGCCAACAGTTCTTTTGAGACCCAATTTCAATGTCAAACAGTTCCTTATGTGTACATGCCAGCCATGCTATTTCAGATCTGGTTGGTGGACAAATGGTGATGATGCAGGTCCAACTGTCTCTGGTTTGGTCCTGGGCATCCTTCAGTGTCACGCAGCTGCTGTCTGCTGGTATGGCGAGGCATCATCAGCATCTTCCATCTCTGAATTGTTTCTCTTCTGTCTTCCTGGCTGGAGCACTTCTTCATGGCTGGAGCACCTCTTTGTTACAGCACCATCTGATTCCAGATGGTCTCAGAGTTGTTTTCTGAAAATATACAAAAATATTTTCAATCAAAAGTTAATAAAAGGATATTTTCTATAAACCTGACTTGGGATCCTTTTTCATTTTTCCCCCCCAAATGATTTTCCTCTGGCTTGTTTTGACACCATGTGTGTATTTTCATGGATATCTTGCTGTTAGGTTTCAAATGAAGGTTAATTTTCTAAAGTACAGGATATTTTTCCTAACATGATATTCTTCCACTGTCATGCCCTTTTTAAAAATTTAAATAATAGGAGACTTTTGGAAATTTTATAATGTAGTTTTGTTATCTTTTACCATTTAATTATTTGTGCTAAACTATGACTGCTTTAGGTTCATAACATGTTATGCAATTTTACCATGAGATGCTCTGCCAATAAAAATTTTTGTTAACACTTTAGGAACAGCTTTTTGTACAGTATAATCAGTTTTTCTAGAATATTCATTTATTTCCATTAGCCACCTTAATTTCTTCTGAGAAATTGGCTACTATTCAACTGTCAAACTCAAGACTCTAGCAAACAGTATTATTTACCATGTGTGTATTAGTGGAATTGATTATTTGCCTTCTTCAGAAGGGCCTGAGCATTCTTGCTACTAGGCTAAATTTAGATATTAAAAACCCTCTTGCCTACACCATGGGTACAAGACCTCTCAAATAAGTCTTGTTGCAGTAAGAGGACAGCTGCTGTCAGCCAAGTCTCTGTCCATTACCTGGGTCCCAATTTGAGCTGTGCATGGGAAGCGAAGCAGCCATGGGGGTAGGAGACCTCCCTCAAAATTGGAGAAGGTTCAGGCACCTGCCACATTGCAGGGTGGGGGTGATAAGGGTCTGTGCCCCACCTCTGTTGACCCCAAGTTCTCTCCTGATGGTCCCTCTGTGACAGTGCCTGTCTTAGGTTGTTCCTCCACTGAGGAACCTTACCCGTCTCTGGCTAACTAGCCATCCTCTGGGGCCAAGCAGGGTGATATGAGGTTTAGTTCTGTCTCCTTGGTAGCCTATGCCCCCATGGGCTCCACACCCAGCACCTGCCTTGGGAACCCCTCACCTGCTGGCGAGGCCCGGGCGATGATCTCCTATTTTTGGGAACCCATGTTCTTCTCCGGAGAGGGCCAAGCTCACCCCACTGAGCGGGAGAGAGATCCATGGTACCAGCCACCATGGTGCTTCAGCCTCGGCATGAACTGAAAGATCAAGCAACAGTTGCGGGCTCCTAGACCATGAGAAGAGGGTCATTTTTGGCCAAAAGGGCAAGACTGGCCAATATAGAATGCTCAGGTGCCTTCCCAGGGGCTCCTCTGCACAATGGTAGGGATTAAGTCCTTTCATGTCATTTTTAAATTGCTGCCAGACATAGAATTGTATTTTTGAAACCTATATAATTTTATTAACCAATGTAACCTCAAAAACTTCAATAAAAATGGAAATAGTCTGGAAGATAACTTAAATGTATGATGAAATACTATGCAACCACAATATTGAGTGTAGTAGAAGAAAATATGGAATAAAATATCTTATTAAATAGCATATAATAAAAATAATAGGTCAAAACTAGTCTATATGGTGTGTCAATCATCTGGGAAAATGTGCATGTATATATAAACACTCTAAAAATTTCCTAATGTAAATGTTGTCCTCAATAGTAGGGATTTATGCTTTTAACGTATTTTCCAAAGATTATACAATTAAGATATTTCATTTCCATTTTTATATTATTTCCAATGTCATATTGTTAGTAATAGTATGTCATCCAAGAAAAGAAAGAAGAAGAGGTGAAAGAGTAAGTAATGATCAAAATTTACTTCTGATAAAACTAATTTAATTTCTTCTTTAGCTCCCAAAGAGAAGACCAGCCTTCACAAAAGTAACCCTGATTTTCCCAAGGCACTCTTACTCTCATTGCTGATGCTTCTGCTATTATTGGCAATATCATTTTTTATCGCTTTTATCAGTAAGTATCCAAATGAAACTATAATGAATGTCTGCCTTACATAAACAGAGGGTCTCCATTAGATTTTTGTATTTAACAAGGAGTTTATCCAGAAATCTGGTAAAATGTGTTCTCTGAGAGATGGTATAATTAGTGGGAATCCATTACAAATCTGCTTTTTAATTTTAATTGAGTTACTTTTCTATAAAAATAATGGAATCCACTCTATAGACTCTATAGAAATTTAAGAGTATATGTGTGTCCATATGTTTGTCTTGTAGGGTGAAATAAGGCACCATCTCCACACTAGACGTTGTATGAGGACAAATTTAGATTTCCTTAGTGTTCCCAAGGCCAGGACTTTTTGAGTGCACACGTACATATTTTGAGATGAGCAGGTAAATAAGGATATGGGAAGAAATGTCGAGGAAGAGTTTTCCATTGAATTTTTACTTTAATTATTTCTGTCCTGCCCAAGACATGAGATCTAAAAGGCAACTTGGCAAATAGGTAGATTTCTGCATATCTTAGGCTTTAAGAATTTATCAAATTGATAAGAGGATAAAAACCAGTATATATCTGGGTAGATATTTTATTCATTCATTTGGTCATTCAATAAGCAATGATGGCCATCTGCTTTATGTCAGACAGCGTGCCAAAGTCCAAGCCATAGTCATTGAAGTTCAGAAAGTGATAGTAACTGGTCACATGAACCAGTGGTTACAATATTGTATTGTAGTGTTGTACAGATAAAAGCAATGGAGGCTGAGATAGACTTCCTGAAGGAGGTGGCATAGAGATGTGAGAGAACATGGGAAAATGTGAGGAAACCCAAGAATAAATGATTGGAATATATGGTGCTAAGTGAACTGTGAGAAATGAAATTGTAGGTTGGAAAAAGAAGTGGGGCTCAGATCATGAAGAGTGTTGTGTACAATCCTAAAGACGGTGAATTTCCCCCCTAAAGATTATTGTATCAATTACAATAATAAAAACCAATCTAAAACTTAGTGGATGAAAACAACAGCTCTTTATTTAGCTCATGATTTTGTGATTTGGCAGTCTGGACTGGGCTTATTGTTCCTGACTGAAAGTGGGGAGAGAACTGGGGTCAAGTATTGCAAGAGGTCAAAGAGAAAGAAAACTAAGAAGGAAACCTAGGATATTACTGATAACCACTGCAAGGGTGGCATCCATCTTGTAGTGGCCATCTTGTGACAATGTGAGGGTGGCCCTCTTGTGGCTGCCATCTTGTAATGATGTGAGGATATTGTGCAAGGACACAAGGACACCACCTACGCTTTTATTAGTATAAGTTGAATATGGGAGATAGGAAATCTTTCCCATAGTTGGGATCTTTATGCTCAAGTAACTGGACATTGGTAGATTTTGTTTCTATAAATAATTCAAGAAAGTAACAATAATTAGCAAATTCATAACATTATCAGGAAAATGAATGATTTAATTCTCTGTTTCAGTTTTTTTTCAAAAGTATTCTCAGCTTCTCAAAGAAAAAAATGCTATAAAAGAAGTTACTCACCCAGCATTGGACTGTATAAAAGAAAATGGGACCATGAAAGGTAAAAATTAATTTGTCTATAATTTAGTTGTTGACGTTATTGTATAAATATTCCCAATCAGCCAAAACCGGTTTGGCTCAGTGGTAGAGCGTCGGTCTGCAGACTGAAGGGTCCCAGGTTCGATTCCCGTCAGGGGCATGTACATTGGTTGTGGGTACATCCCCAGTAGGGGGTATGCAAGAGGCAGCTGGTCGGTGTGTCTCTCTCATCGACGTTTCTAGCTCTCTATCTCTCTCCTTTCCTCTCTGTAATAAATCAGTAAAAAATATAAAAAAAAATATTCCCAATCAATATTTCTGAAGATTCACAAGTATATCACACCAAGAGGTTAAGTCTCATGATCATTTCAAACTTTAGGTACATAAGTATATAGGATATAAAATTCACATATGAATATCTTTAATATATATGTGCAAGAAAATAGCATTTAAAAAAGTTTTTATTGATTTCAGAGAGGAAGGGAGAGGGAGATAAAAACATCAATGATTATAGAGAATTATACATTGGCTGCCTCCTGAATGCCCCATACTGGGGATCAAGCCTTTAACACCAGGCATGTGCCCTGACTGGGAATTGAACTGTGACCTCTAGTTCATGGGTCTACACTCAACCATTGAGCTACATTGGCCACACAAGAAAATAGTCTTAATTTTTTTTTTTTAATTTTCAAGTACAATTTTAAAAAAAAAAAATTTCAAGTAGTTTCAGGTGTACAACAAAGTGGTAAGACAATCATGTACTTTACAGAGTGATCTCCTCCCCCTCTTCCCCTGATATTTCAAATACCCACCTGGCCCCATATTTCTACCAATAGCCCCTTCAAGGCAACGTACACGTTTTCTAGAATGCACCTCAAAACTCTTCTAGCCTTTACCCAACACCTTGTTTTGAAACAAGGTGTATCCTAAGGTAGTAGAAGAACCTACAAGAGGTTTCTTTTCTTTTCTTTTGAGGGGGATCTGGAAATACTGGAAAGTTTTTCTACATAAATGAATGATAATTGATTCTTCAGTTTATACCATTTCAGTTTACAAAAGGTTCCATAAAAACACTTTATTTTTTTAATAGTGGGGAAAACCTGTATTACAAACTGGGTGGTTTAAACAGCAGACATTAATTTTTTGGAGTTCTAAGCTGGGAGTCTAAGGTCACTAGCAGTTTTGGTTTCTGTTGAGGCCTCTTTCTCTGGTTTACAGATGGCCACCTTCTCTGTGCATGAAGAGATAGAACTTCATAGAGAGAGAGAGATACAGAGACAGAGAAACAAATATATATATGCCTGGTGTCTCTTCTTTTTATAAAAACACTAGTTTTATTGGATTAGGATTTCACCATTTGACCTTATTTAGTCTTAACTATCTTTTAAAAAAATATATATTTTATTGATTTTTTTACAGAGAGGAAGAAAGAGGGATAGAGTTAGAAACATTGATCAGCTGCCTCTTGCACACCCCCTACTGGTGATGTGCCCACAACCAAGGTACATGCCCTTGACCGGAATCGAACCTGGAACCTTTCAGTCTGCAGGCCGATACTCTATCCACTGAGCCAAACCAGTTTTGGCCTTAATTATCTTCTTAAAGTCCTGACTGCATTGGAGATTAGGACTTCAACATATGAATTTTGGGGGCACATAATTTAGTCCATAACATTCTACCCCAAATTCATACCCTTCTTGCATAAGAAATACATTCACTCTGTCCCAACAAGCCCCAACGTTTTAACCCATCCAGCATTAATTCAAAGTCCAAAGTCTCATTTGAATATTATCTAAACCAGATATAGGTGAGTATGATTCATCCCGAGACAAAATTCCTCTCCAATTGTGAACCTATAAAACCAGATGAGTTATGTGCTTCCAAAATTCAGTGGGACAGCCATAGATTAGACATTCCCTTTCCAAAATGGAGAAATCAGAAAGAAGATAAATGTCTTTCAAACAAGTTCAAAACCTATCAAGAAAAAGGCCATTGTATCTTTTTAAAATTTTACTACTTATTGCAGTTTACATTAAATATTATTTTGTATTAGTTTTATGAGTACAGCATAGTGGTTAGACAATCATATACTTTACAAAATGTTCCCCCTGATATTTCAAGTACCTACCTGGCACCATACATAGTTATTACAATATTGTTGACTATATTGCCTATGCTGTACTTTACATCCATGGGACTATTTTGTAACTTCCCATTTGTATTTCTTAATCCCTTTACCTGTTTCACACCCTCCCACCCCTCAAGCCCCTTCTCTGGCATTTGTCAAGTTTTGTTTTGAGTCCATACATGTAAGTGATATTTTATATGCACCACTATGTTCATTATAGCATTATTTACAATAGCCAAGATGTAAAAGCAATCCATATGCCCTTCAATAGACAAGTGGATAAAAAGTTGTGGCTCATGTATAGAATAGAATGGTATACTTGGCCATAAAAAAAATAATGAAATCTTACCATTTTTCAACAGCACGGATGGACTTAGAGATTGTTATGCTAAGTGAAATACGTCAGACAGAGAAAGACAAATATTGTATCTTAAGGTTTGAGAATAATCTTCTTTGGCTTGATGCTTGGGCCAACTTGAATGACAATGTCACCCGCATGGCCCCACATGGTGGCTCTGTCCTGTGGGTCTGTGGGGATGCCATGCCCCTGAGGCACCGAGCAGTTGTATTCTGGCCACCGAGTCAGGGAGGGTTGCCCCACTTTCCAAGACCAAGGAGGAAATTGCCTTGCTCCCTAGGCCTGCGGGTTGGAGTGGCAATCCTGGTGATCTCTGAATCGCCCTTGGTCATCCTTCCCTTTTCTTGAAATATAACACATGTTTAATTAAAGTCAGTAGCTCTATTGTCTCATGCTGTAGAATAACAGAAGTCTAATAGCTTTATTCATTCTGTCCCATTTTCTCAGTCCCCATTAGTCCCAGCTGACTATATATATATATATATATTTCTTTTCTGGTTTTAGTGCATTTTTAAAAAAATCCTTTATTGTTTAAAGTATTATATATGTCTTATTTTCCCTCCATTGACCTTTCCCCCGCCATTCCCACCTCCCAGCACATGCCCTCACCCCCTACAGTCTGTGTCCATTGGTTATGCTTATATGCATGCATATAAGTCCTTTGGTTGGTCTCTTAACTCCACGGGAGCCAGGCTGCTCTGAGCCTGTAGGTGCACATGTAAGCCCAGAGTGTCCCAGAATGCCCCCGGCCACTCCGGGCCTATGCTCATACGTGCTGAGCAGCCAGGGGCAGGGCGGGAACATTCCTGGGACCCAGGTGCGAGGGGGCAAGCAGTCCTCCACAGGGCCCCCACAGTGAGCAGACACCAGGGCTTGCTGTGGTATCAAGTAGGCATGTCCACAGAGAGCAGAGAACCACAGGGAGCAGGCCTAAGCCATCAGTAGGTCATCCCCTGAGGGCTCACAGATTAGAGAGGGTGCAGGTCGGGCTGATGGAACACCCCCCCCCCCCACCTTCCCGTGCACGAATTTCATGCAATTATGGGAGCTAGAGGTCCAAGATACTAGAAAAATTCATTTGTGGTGAGACTTCTCTTCCTCATTTGAACAAAGGCACCTTATTGCTGTGTCTTTACATAGCCTCTTTTCTGTGGGCTGTGTGTGTGTATGTGTGTGTGTGTGTGTGTGTGTGTGTGTGTGTGTGTGTGTGTGAGAGAGAGAGAGAGAGAGAGAGAGAGAGAGAGAGAGAGAGAGAGAGAGAGAAAGAGACTGATTTTTGCTGTCTCTTTCTCTTCTTATAAGACCCAAGTCCTATTGGATTAATGTCCTACCCTTAGTTTCTTCCTTAAAGACTCTAGCTCCATAATCATATTAAGAATTATAGCTTTAACATATGAATTTTGAAGGAACACCATTAAGTCGATAGCAAGCATCTATATAATTTATTTGAAATTTTTGTTCATGTGAGATTTGTCTCTTCTGCCCTTGGGTTTGGTTCCAGGGCAGCCATCTTGTATGTTGAAGTGATGATCAATTTGCATATTATTCTTTTATTAGATAGGATAGAGGTCTGGTGAATGGGTGGAGGCCAGCTGGTTTGCCTTGAAGGGTGTCCTGAATCAGGATGGGGGTTCCCTTGGGGCATGGGGTGGTCTGGGCAAGGAGCCTGTGGTGATTTGCTGGCTGGCCATGCCCCAAGGCAATCCAAGTGGAGGCCCTAGTATCTGAGATTTATTTATCTTCTATAATTGAAACTTTGTAGCCTGGAGTGGAGGCCTGGGCTGGACAGGGCAGGCAGAAAGCTTGGCTTCCTCCATTGCTGGGAAACCCAAGCCTCCCTCCTGCTCTTCGTGGCCATAGCCATCTTGGTTGGATTTTTTTGCATATTTGATCCTGATTGGTTGGTGGGTGTGGCTGGTGGGCATGATCTGTGGGTGTAATGGAGTGATGGTCTATTTGCATATTACTTTTATATTAGGTAGGATATTTTTAATTTTTATTGTTGAAAGTATTTCACATATCCCTTTCCACCCCTATTGACCTCTTTTAGCCCATCCCTACTGCCTACCCAAGGCCTTTACTACATTATTGTCTGGGTTTATGGGTTATGCATATTAGCATATATATATATATATATATATATATAAAACTTTTGGGTTAATTTCTTCGCACCCACCCACCCTGCCTTCCATCTGACAATCTGTTCTATGCTTCTATGTTTCTTGAGCTATTTGTTAATCAGTTTATTTTGTTCCTTAGATTCTACATATGAGTGAGATCATGTGATACTTGTCTTTCTCTGACAGGTTTATCTTACTTAGCATAATACTCTCCAGGTCCCTCCATGCTGTCTCAAAGCATAAGATATCCTTCTTTTTGAACAGTAATGTTTTCAAGGAAATATTTTTTTCTGAGCAGTAGGTCCCAACAGTGGGCTTAAAATAATCAGTAAACCACCTTGTAAACAGAGGTAATGCTATCCAGGCACTGTTGTTTTATTTATAGGGTATAGGTAGAATATATGCAGCAAAATTCT